TGTTCCTGTTCAGGATTGACAAGCGGAAATCATGACCGTTAGACCATCGAGGAATTTATGTAACAAGTATGTAATCTTTGGTTTTAGGTTAGAGAATCAACACAGATGCAAAAAAAAAGAACCCAAATCACCCTGCACCCTGCAACATGTGTTTTGGCGCATGTCTGAAAATAGCAAATGATACCGATTTAAGAACGCAGTGACAACGAGACTTTATACCAAGTCAGGACTTGATTGTGGCTCATCAAACTGAAAAAGGACGCACTTATGCCCATTGAACTTACCGTTGCACGTGGCGGATGATCAGCTTGAGACCCCGCTGATTGCCCTTTCAGACATGTGATTCTAGTCCACGCTGATGGCCAACATCAATATAACACTTCGTACAAAGCATATCTGCTTCGACAACCTAGACTCTCGAATCACGGTACATACAGTACACCAGCGACCAGCAAGGTCAACACCAGAGCCACGACCGCGGACAGGGGCAAGTGGATCCCCGATCTCCAGCGGCCCGGGGCCACCGGATCCAAACCATTCATCATCGTCCTCCTCCACATACGCATATATCAACCTCAAACCTAACCTCCCCAATACACCCCAGAACATACACCCAGCCCCCACCAACCAAAATGACAGTCATAGCAGTAGCAGGCGGCACCGGCGGTGTAGGTAGAACCATCGTCGAGACCCTCCTCGAAGAAACCACCCACAAGATCATCATCCTAACCCGCAGCGTGCGTAATTTGTCCTCGGCCTCAAAATACATAATCCCCAGGCCCCCAGGCCCCCAGACCCCCAGTCCCCAAAGCTCATCCTCATGCAGACCCCCAAAGACCCCCCCACCTCACGAACCCAGCACCTCCAAATCAACTACGACGACATCCCCGCCCTCACGGACCTCCTCACCACCGAGGGAATCACAACCATCATCTCGGCCATTGGCATCACCACCGATGCCACCAGCCAAGCGCAACTGAACCTCATCGACGCCGCCGAGCAATCTCCCACCGTCACCCGCTTCCTCCCAAGCGAGTACTCTTTCATCCAGACGGCCGAGTAATTCCTATCCTCTTACCCCTTCCCCTCCCGCCCAACCCAATGCTGATAAACATCAAAAGCCTCCTCGAAATCGACCCCAGCATAAAACACTGGCTGGCAGCCGCCAACAAGCTGCAGCACGACGCGCCATCCCTAAACTTCACCCGGGTGATCCCCGGCTTCTTCATGGATTACTGGGGGATGCCGCACGTGCGCACGCACCTGCAGCCGGGGGTGTTTGGGATTGACGTCCAGAACGGTCGGGCGGCGATCCCCGGCGACGGGAACGACCGGTTGTGCATGACGTATACGTACGACATGGCGCGGTTTGTGGTCCGGTTGCTGGAGGAGGTGGATGCGGGCGAGTGGCCGGAGTTCAGTGTTGTGGTGGGGGATGTGGTTACTTATAATGAGTTGGTGGGGTTGGTGGAGGATATCAGAGGTTTGTTTTGCCCTTTCCTTTGTAGAAGTTCTGGAGAGAAAGGGGGGGGGGCGGGGGGGTTAAGGTCGGGGGCCAAAGGTGAAGCAAGAGGAAAAGGAACGGAAGACACCGTCAGAAAGCACGCGAACGAGACCAGGATCCATTCTAACCAGACTTTCCACATCCAGGTCGAAAATTCTCCGTTGTATACGACAGCCCCGAGAAGATCAACCAAGGGCAGGTCACCGTCCCTGCCGTCCCAGAGGGCTACACCGAGGCGGAAGCCCACGAGGTGACCGTGCTGGTCAGTCGGCTCACCATTGCGGGGGTCTTCGATCTGCCCGTGGAAGGGCGGCTGAATGCCCGATTCCCCGGGATCAAACCGGTCAAGGTGAAGGAGTTCCTGGTTGAGGCGTGGAAGGGGAAGAACTGACCCCTACTCCCGGGCTGTATCCTACATCCTACTATGTGGTCTTGCATATATTACCGTTGGATAGGTTAGACAAACGAAACAGATGTAGATTTTCTTGCTCTTTGCGGATCTTAGGTATATCATAAAAACACAGTCTGAAACGCTGCGTGGACTTTTCTTCCGAACCCCAAGCTAGAACAGAATTCAATGTAAAGTATGTCACGCACACCACGGGCAAAACACGTAAGACAACACCGAAGGAGCCCTCGATCAGTACCCGATCGATCGAATCGAACCAATCTCTACCCCACTCGCAAATCGAGATCCCATTCTTACACCCTACCTAGACACTCGCCCCACCAAGGACCGAGCCAGCCATCCATAGCCTCGTTGTAGTAAATCTCATCAACACCATCATCGTCCTCCCCATCCTCATCGTCCTCATCGTACGCATATTCGACGAACAAGTCTTCGAGGTTAACTGACACCGGCAATGAACGAAATGCACGTTTGGCAGGGCCAGGAAAAGGTCATCACGTACAGGTAGCAGTAATTCCTTGGGTAGCTGCTGCCGCCGCCGCCGCAGCAGCAGCAACGGCAGCAGAGGTAAGAGGGTCAGTGGCCTCCACCAGCTTGGCCAGGTCAGCCTCGGTGATTTCGTCGCCGGGCTCGCGGGTGTGCAGGGGAATGTTTTCGATCTGTCCGGACATTTTGTGCTGGTCTCAGAGGGGTTTGAGTTGCCACAGAGTGAGAGAGGTCAAGGGCAGGGCAGGTGGTATAGAAAAAGTTGAAGGCACTGGAAGTTAAAGGGAGGTCGGTCACTAGCCAGAGGAGAGATACGTCTCTGCTCTCGCGGGATTGTCCATTTATAAATGTCTTGTCCACTGTCGAGATGCCCGTCTAAGAACATAAGTCCTTGGCATCAACATGAAATGCTAAAACGCAATGAAGCAGGTTCATTTGGACGGTGGGAGGTCTAGACCACCAGCTCAAGCAACACTCTCACCTCAGGAAAGAGAAACTTGTGGCCTTGGTTGGAAGACCGACAAGCCCTTTTTCTCACAAATTGATTGATGGCGTATAATAGCCGGGGATGTTATATCGAGAGACACATTGGACAATTCGCCGCCACCACAAAGATTCAAAGCTCAGCCACCAGCCACAAGACCAAAGATGATGCAACCCGCTGTATCACATGCTCATCAACAGATGAAACCAGAAACAAGAATTCGCGTTAACGTGGCTCTGGTTTTCCTGATCTCTGGTGTGGTGAGGCTTCCACAAGTTTCCAATCTGGAGACCACGGGACCCCAAGGTAATGGGAACGGCGTGCTGGGTCCTAAGGGCCTCGTATCCTCCATGATGGATGCTGCCTCTTAAGTTGCAGAAAGGCTCGGCCCGCCTGTGGACATCGTGGTCAGTCAAACAGACAATTCTCTCAGAGTCGCAGCACACCCACCCCAGTGGAAGGCTATCATGGTGCTATCTGGAGTTGACAGCAGATAACCGATGGTATCCATCAAAGTGAAGGAGTCGTGAGCCTCAGCAGACTTGCGGCCCAGGCGCCTTCTCGCAGAGCGTTTGCGACCGTGTCCCTGGGTTGGCTCCTGGTCGGGTTCGCCCAGGGCAGGACTGACTTCTTCTTTCGGTTCGGAAGCGTGCATGACTGCGACGGACGGTCGACCGTTGGATGCGAAGGCTTCTTTCTTAATTGGCGATAAACTTATATTTGGCACGAGCAATGTGTACGCACAGTTAGGAAGGGGTCAGGGGACAGATCTTGCCATTCAGGATAGTGTTCGATCTGCGGACCCCCTCTCTAAGCTTCTCTGAGTTGTGGACTGTGCGGACAATTCGCAGTCATCGTGTGGGCGCATAGCATCTTTAAGTGTTCTTTTGGGCTGCTGGCTCCTCAGGGGACGATGCAGGCAAGGCCGAAACTCGGCAGAAGACACGCGAGCAGCCTGAGCCGCTTTTACCGGAACGATGCTGCGGGTAGTCTGCACGCTGCAGACGAGCTGACAAGTCATCCACCATGGAGACAACTCGACCGAAGGAAAAACTCAATCAGGCATAAGGGAGGGGGATTGAAGGAGGGGAAGAATGTCTGTAGCTGCAAGAGGCTGCCGCCATCCATGTTTGCTATTGGCTTTTAAGCTTTTGACAGAAGCTCCTTGCTTCTTGCGTCCACGGAATCACATCGGAAAATTCGAACCCGGCCTGCATTTCTGCCTGTCGAAACTAGGGATCTCTCGGGAGTACTTCTAGCACAAAAGACTGGACTTGGGAAATCTCTGAGTTGAAGAGTGGGAAGGTCTGAGGGATCAAGCATGCGAAAACCAGGATCGAGTGCCCTGCTCGATGGAAAGATGTCCCGGTCGCAGTGGAACAAAATCGATGCTCGGGTGTTGCCGAGATGGATTGCTCTAGTGGTAATCGATTGTTGATCGTGCGACTGGATGAGTCAACTGTGTTTCTGGGTCAAGGGTCAGATGATTCTGGTCGATCGCTTGGCAATGTGAGGTATCATACAGGTATACAGGTACGGGCGGAGTGGATGCGAGTGGTGTTGCAGATCGCTGTCAGACGTGGCCCACTTGTTAGTGGGTTAATGGTTGCCTCGACAGTTTTGGCGGATGTGGTATCAATGAATGCAATGAATGAAATGAATGAATCGTCCAGAAGAAGAAAGAAGAGAGGGACAAGTGCAGGTGGGGTAAAACACACCGATGCCTGAACACACTGCTGTTGCCAGTGCCCCCTTGTCCTCCTGCCCTAACCTCCACACACACCGACTTATATGTAGGAATGTACGGAGCACAGTGCGGAGTACTTACAATTTCTGGAAAATACCAAGAGGATGCTCAGTCTACAGTCAACCCCGGACGGATATCTCGGTCAATAATCGAGTCTATCATAATTACATGGTGCCACGCACCAAACCTCAAATCAAGGCACTGCCCGGAAGGAACAGGACCAGGAAATAGTAACCGGTTCCGCTCGTGTGTCACTTCGGTCACTTCGGCGGATTCCCAACAGACAAAGACCCCGTTTTATTTGTTCGTCCCCCGCCCGCTCGAGCCTGACGTCAGGTCGATCCCAAGGCTCACACTCCAATCATCGTTCCAAACCCATGGAATGGAGGGGGATTGAAAGAGCCCGTGCTCGTGAGTTGGAGTAAATCGGCCAGGGCGGAGCGGAGGGAATGTCCACCTCTCTAGCAATGACAACAACCCCTTGATTCATTACTTACTACTGGGTATCCGTAGTCCATAAAAATTCCCCGTATCCCATGCGATGGTCTGACAGTTGTCTGACTCTGACACTTGTCACCCTCGTGGTCCTGCCAACGGTGCCATAAATTACCCGACTTTCGCCAGCGAAACCTACCTACCTACCTACCTACAAGAATCGAATGATCACAGAACCCCCGAGCCAGCAGCCATCATGACCGACACCGCCATCACGCGTCTCCAGAACCACCTGAGGTGCGATCTCGCACGCAAGAATCGCATCGGACGAGCATGCGTTCTCAAGCGCTTCTCCCAGTGGCTGTGGTCGGTATGGATGATCGACAGCCCCCAGACTTCGGCGCGTCGCGTCGAATGCACCGATCGCACCGAACCCACGAACTATATATGTTCGACCACAAAAGCCCCCGTCTATACACTCCCTGCACCTGAACAGCCAGTCCAGGCCCCCCCGCAGCAAGACCAACCGTGCCAGCCCTGCAAGGCCTGCAAGGCCTGGGGCGTGCCGTGCGACCAAGTGCACCCCCGCTGTTCGCACTGTTTAGAGCAACAGATCCTTTGTTTCTATGTAGCCCCGACCCGGAAATCCACCAGAAAGTCCACCCGATCGACGAAACCGAGCCAAGTCGTGGATCCAACCCCGCGATTTGCACGAACCTTAATCAGAGACCGATGACTGCATGAGGCAGCCTAAGAAAGACGTCGGTTTCCCCGCACACAACAAGAAAACGTGAGACACGCGGGGGAACATCAACCCAATGATATGGCAGGTACTTGAAGCACCCTTCCATTTTGATTTGGCGGCCGATTATAACTCTCTAGTGCCATAACGCATCAGATGAAAGCCATCCGTGTTTAACTGGCTTAATTTGGCACATAAGGACAATAAGATATCTGTCCATTATGAAGACCGGTCCGTGCAGTCAGATACATCAACGAAAATAGCTTCATATGCTGTACAAAGTCATGTGAGATGAGCTTATCTGTCAGAACCCCCCAAGATATTGGTCTGTCCATGATCAATAAACATGATGTTTGAATTTTAATGAAGCTCATGAATGAAATATTATAAGGGGGGATATTCTTATGGCAGTCTTATCAAACCCAGTCAGGTCGATGCATAAGAGAAATAGCCACTCAGTAGCAGACGTAGAGTTCTCTCACAAAACGGAACAGAAGAAGAATGACAAGCAACAAGTAAGGAGTAAGCCTTGACCTTCAGCTCCTTGACTAAAACCAACAAGATAATGAGATGAACAAGAAAAGCGGTTATCATGAAAGACGAACCCACAGGATTTACTGTGGTAGTTAAACCGGGCTATACGATATTGTTCTAGCAAATAATCATGATAAGCAATATCGGTTGCTAAGATCTCTTCTTACTTCATTAAGCGTCACCAGTTTCTTGAGTTAGAATATGATATATATTCAAAATATATAACCTCTGATGGTTATACAGTCATATCCTTAATACTAGCTTACCTCAAGCCTACCCTACCACGTATGTAAACCGATTCATTAGCCCTATCTAGCTGCCAGGCGGGTTCTTTCTTCACTGCTAGAACCTTGCCCTTGCACCCATCCTTTTCTTAATGGCCGGATTTTATGCTTTACCATTGACCTGTTCAAGCGATCTCTATATTGAGCTAGTTGGGGGTTTGAGAGTGGTGACGAATGAGCTTCACCAGATACATACAAGCTACTGTGCCAGAGAAATGGATCTAAGCTAATGGGAATGGAATGTTTAGCTAATCGGTGCTTGCAGAAGAAGCTCATTACACCAAGACAATAAAAGTCGCAAGTACCTACACAAAAGGCTTAATGTGCATAAAGTGAGACCTTGCGGAGGTTCATATTATCTAGTTCCATTGCGGATCCCCAGGATATCTCGGGACCGTGCCGTTGCCGTGCTAAGTAGGGAGTCCGACTTAATTTATACCTCTACGCACTCAAAGTCTAGGAAACATTGGCTATGGGTACGAGTTAATGCTAGTACTTCCTCGCTTATGACGCAACGCCAGGATCCCGAGCTCTATTTGGTATGTTCACCGATCAAAGACCTTCCCGGGGTTCCTGCAGTAAAAGAAGTGTACAGGTCAGTTATCACTTCAATTTAGAAAAGTTAATCACAGCCAGAGGAGAAGACCATACAGAATCCAATGGGGGTCCAGAGTTCCTTTCAGGATTTTCTGTTTACCGGTCGTAACGTTAACAAAGCTCCTCGGTCTGGCCTTTATATCGAACCAGCACCGCATTCGTGCGTTGGGCTTTGGACTATGCCAGGGTACAACGTACCATAAATAAGATAGTTTTATCGCCAGGCTCCTGTTCAAGGGCTTCCTTTTTGCCAAAACCGACAGGTGCCGTCCATGTCTATGGCTCGACTGACCATATTTTTCACGGCTGTTTTGGCCTTCTTGCACTCCTCTGGACTTGTACCGTCGTATGTGATATTTTCGTGGAAACTGCCGTCGCCGACGTGGCCCTTCACGCATGCATTAAGACCCAAGGCGGCTGCTTCTTCTTTGCTCGCAACGATAATGTCGGCTAGACGGCTTAATGGGACAGCGACATCGGTGTTCCCTACATTGACGAGATCGAATTAGCGGTCTTCACATAAGGACGACGGATGTTCAACCCCACTGACACATTTCTTCGCCATCCTTCCGGAGGGCGAGCAGTGAATATAATGACTCTTTCCTGGCAGACCACAGAAGCTTCTGTTCATGCTCGGTGTGAGCAAACTCGAAGTCCTCAGAACCGTGGGATTCGGTGATTTCGCGAACTCTCTGAATCGTCTCGTCCAACATCAGTTTCGAGCCCGCAAATTTCAAAAACAGGGTGGGTTTTTCTTTCCAGACACGTGGTCGAGTGATCCCGCCCTCGTTAACAATGCGCATCTGGGTCTCATCCATAAGCTCGAGCGCCGCCACGGGAATACCTCTGGGGATGACCTTGGTGGCCGCTGAAACGGCATCATGAATTGTATTGAAGGGAACGACTGCAACAGAATAATTTTCGGGTATGACAGCCAGTTTCAGTGTCGCTTCGGTGATGATGCCCAGCGTACCCTCGGAGCCGACAAACAGTCCGGTGAGGTTATATCCGGCACTACACTTACGCGGCCGTTGGCGAGTCTTCACCACGGTGCCGTCGGCAAGTACAACGGTCAAATTGATAACCCAGTCACGCATGGTACCGTAGCAGACTGCATTCGTGCCCGAGCAATTGGTGCTGATCATGCCGCCAATCTTGGCACTGGGTGCTGTGAAGATCACTAGCATCAATAGACAGATATGAGTTTCACCGGAGCTACAACCTGGATCCATACGGAAGAAAAGGCCACTGCCCATCTGCTTCAGTTTGTCTACCCACTGAACGCTAGGTTGAACAACTACATCCATATCTGTCTCATGAATCTGAATGATTTGGTCCATGTAAACGAAATCCATGCTCACACCACCAAACGGTGCTGCCGTACGGCCCTCTAGACTACTACCGCCGCTATACGGGATAAGGGGTACTCGCCATTTATGGCAGATTCTGGCAATTGTGCTGACTTGTTCTGTGCTGTGTGGATAAGCAACAGCGACAGGCAGTGTATCAAGCTTGACGGAAGACCACTCAGAGAATCCGTGCATTTTGAGGTCCTCATCATCCGTCGAGTGGTTCCCTAACTTATTTTAATGAAAAGCCCTGTAGATTGTAGCTTCTAGGTCTCCTTCTAGGTCTCATATTTTTGGCTATGGGATAGTTCAAAATCACGAGCCAGATAGATACTTAAGGAACGATGTGTCCTGGATCCTTTCCCATAGCTTCTATGATATACAATGGAACCTTGTCTGACCCATTTGCATTAGCCCTCACTCTCATACTGAACGTTTGTGTCTGAGGAGGCAACTGTTTTTGAAATCCACTGTAAACACGTATGACTGGGCCATTAGGTAATGTTACAGGGCTCCCACATGTCTATTAATCATAACCATGCTTACACGATCTTGTTTCCCTTGATGCATAGTAACTTCACAGGAGCATACGTTCAACGAAAGAAGAAGTTCCTCAGAAAGCTGGAATGCCGAAGTCTAGCCATGTTGCCACGCACGAGGTCACTTTGGACATCGGAGCACTGTGAACCGATCCCCCTCCCAATGGTTTAACATGGCTATCGAGCAAATTACGTGCGATATTTCGATGGCTCTCGAGGAGGGCAGTCTGTGTCTTCTCTGCATACCCAGGGGTTGCTGGCGAACGGGTCTGTTGAACAGACGTATGGAAATCACCCCATCCGGACTCTAATACCCTCACCAAATTATAACTGACATTCTGGCCTAGATGGAAGCCGAATACGCTAAGATTGCGGACATCATCCGCCAGAAAGCCCGCTCTCACCACAAAAAAAGGCTCCTCGTAGCTATCGCTGGCATTCCGGGCTCGGGAAAAACAACCACTGCAGCGGCAGTCGCTCAGCTTCTGCGATCTACTTCTCCCGCTCTGGCCACGGCGCTTCTGTCCATGGACGGCTTCCATCTCTCGCGGGCTGTCCTAGACACGCTCCCCAACCGAGAAGAGGCTTATCTCCGTCGCGGTGCGCCCTGGACGTTCGATGCATCCCGTTTCGTTGCCGTTGTCCGACAGCTACGCCAGTGGGCAGACCTAGACCCTCAAGCTAACCTAAGTGTCGAACTGCAAACCATCTATGCGCCCTCATTTGACCACGAGGCGAAAGACCCCGTGGAGGACGGCGTTGTCATCACCCCAGACACGTCCGTCGTCATCATCGAAGGCAACTATTGCCTGCTGAACGAACAAATATGGCGCGAGGTCGCGCAGCTAGTTGATTATCGCATCTTTGTCGATACAGACCTACAAGAGGCCCGCCGGCGTGTCGCCAAGCGGCACGTTCAGGCCGGGATTGAGGCCACTCTCGACGCGGGGCTCCGTCGGGTGGACAGCAACGACTCCCTCAATGCTCTGATCATTCAGGACAAGCTGATTACTCCCGACTTGGTGGTGCGAAGTGTAATAGAAAATGCATAACATTTCGCAAATAATTCACATTTCTCACTGAAGGCTACAAAATACACGCACCTCCCCCCATCAAGAAACAATTATATCCTAGACCGTAACCCGACATTACTCCTTGATCTTCTGCTTGTGAAAAACATCTACTAAATTAGCCTCTCTCCCACATCACATCCCAGAAGGGGTTATACCCGAACTCACCAGGAATCTCCGGCATCCAATTCGCTCGACTCTCACAGAAGAACTCCCCCTTCGGCGGCAGAACCTCGGGGTCATCCAACGTCCCCACGCAGATATAACGGAAATCATTCTTCACCGCATCCTAGCCATTCCCCGGAAACATTAGCATGCGTAGCCCAGACAGATCCCAACAATTAGTGGACGCGAGGAACATACCCCATATTCGAGAATAAAGCTTCCACAATCCCCGCAGAACTCCCGATGGATCGTCGATCCCGAGCCATTGTCCCCGACGAATTCCTTCGGTTGGCCGGATTTGAGCGTGAGCGCGTCCTTGGGGACCTTGGCTGTTAGGCCGTAGTTGGTGCCGAATGCTTTCTGTGAAGAGCACCACGGCCCCATCGCCGTCGGTGTTAGCCCGTGGGTTTTTGGGAGAGGGTAGGGACCTTGGGGGATAGGGTTGGAGGTATAAGGAAAGTATAGGAGCTCTAACCTTGCAGCTGCTGCAATGGCAGAGAGATGTGCGGGCGTCGTCCGGGGAGGAGAGCGAGAGGTCATAGGTGATGTTGCGGCAGTAGCAGGAGCCGGGATAGGTGGGCATTCTGGCGGCTGAGCTGTGGAATTGCGAGGTTTGAAGGGAATGGAAATGTAGTCGTTGTCCTTGCCAGTGTCTTTTAGTGTTTAAAGTATAGGTGGTGGAGGGAAAGTGGCTGTGGTTGTTGTTCTTGATCATGAATATGAACTTGTTGTATACAGCGCGAGGCCGGGCTGCTTGCCGAATATTGACGTCATGTGCAGCAGCAGCAGCCGCTGTTGTTGTCCATCGCCGCCAGCCATTCTCCCTCCCACCACCACCTCCTCCTCTTCCTCCTGCTCTTGTCACTCCCCGCATCAGCCCCGTCGGACTGGAGCCTGTCGCTTTGTACTTGTACATACTGCTCAATGGCGTGGTCCTAGCTTTCTGTCCATACTCGGGAAGCTGCGTTTCTCGTCTTTCTTTATGCACAGTCGTTCGTTTGTTCTCGCCCCCTCTCCCGTGGCGTGATGTGACTATGACACGCCAAACGCCCGCGATCATCCGACTGTTCGCGTGGGGATTTATACCTCTGTTTCTTGCCTCTCGGCTCTCTGGCTCTACTCCACTTGATTCCGTCAACCCAACGGAGTGAACTTTGGCAGCAATTCGACGGGGGGTGTTTCCCGCGCCCGCACTCTCTCTTATCTACAGAGTCAGACCCAAACCCGCTTCCATAAGTGTACACCCAACATTTCTATACTACGTTCGACTATAATTTTATCCACGTTATCCTCAACACAATGACAACATCCCCACCACCGTCCCACCAACCTCCCGGCGACCAATCTCAATCTCAGCCTCTCGAAAAGCGCGCCGTCGTCTCATCCTTCATCTTCAATTTTAAGGATGGGAACCCGCTCGTAGCGCTGTTCAAACGCAGCGACAAAGTGAGAACATATCGGTTTGTCTCCTGATCGCCTTGGGTAGAAGTCCAACTCTAAGAGTCAAATCAGTGGCCACCTTGCCCCAATATCCGGCAGCATATCGTCCGACGACCGCGACCCGCTCGCAACCGCCTGGCGCGAACTCTCCGAAGAAACAGGTCTCACTTCCTCTAACCTCACGCATTGGCGCACCGGAAAGCCATTCACATTCAGTGATCCGTCAGCCGGACGCGAGTGGACTGTGCATCCGTTCGGCTTCCTATACAACGCAAACACGCCTAAAGAATCAACAGCAAATGAAGAAGAACCGTCCTTCAAGACCGACTGGGAGCATACAGGCTGGGAATGGCACCCGCCATCCGCGATCCTCAATGAAGAGCTCTCGCCCACCGTGCCTCGACTTAAGGACAGTTTCCGCCGCGTATGGTTCGAAGGCGATCTCCGCAGTGAACGCGCTGGCAATATCCTCGCCACGGGACTAGAGCGTCTCCGCAATGACCACGAAAGCGGCTCGCAGGAGCTCACGACCATCGCGCTGATGATCTTCCGCGACTTCCTCGTCCAGACCCAGAACGGGATGGACGCCCGATGGTGGGCCAACGTGCGCATGGCGGCGTGGCACATGATCAAGAACGGACGGGAGAGCATGGGCGCCGCGACGATGAACGCGCTCGTCGCCGTGCTCGCCGAACTCGACGATATCCTCCACCACGACGAAAACCACAACCACAGCCCTGGCCGTAAAATTAACCACTCCGACGAGCAAAAGTGGGAGCGCATGCTTGCAGTGCTGGACCACCACCTCGCCAGTCGCAAGAGCAGGGCAACGCAGGTCAAAGACGCCTTCACCCACTACATCCGGTACCACTTCCTACACCACGGCGAGCCGCGGGACAAGCTCACAATCCTGACGGTGTCGGCGAGCTCGACGATCCGCGACAGCATCCTGGACGCGTACGCTTCGCTGGACATCCACCTGTTGGAGCTGCGGGTGCTGGAATCCCGGCCCCTCTTCGAGGGCGCCAGCATCGCCTCGTCGCTGATCTCCAACTTCAAGTCGCGGTTTGCGGACACCCCCCACAAGAACCTGCGGGTCAAGGTGTACACGGACGCGTCGGCCGCCATCGCCGCCGCCGGGGTGGATCTGCTGCTGCTCGGGGCGGACCGCCTGTCCGCCACGCGGGGGGTCAGCAACAAGACCGGCTCGCTGCCCGCCGCTCTGTGCACGCGGCACGTCAGCCCGGACGCCCAGGTCGTCGTCCTCAGCGACCTCGAGAAGATCAACGGCGCCCCCAGCGTCATCGACGACGACAAGCACGAGGACAACTCCCCGCTCGAGGTCATGACCACCTGGCGCAGCGACGGCGTCAAGGGCGTCGGCGTGTTGGAGGAGGGCATGAAAGCCGCGGCTGGCCCCGGCAGCTCCAAAAAGCACGACCCGGGCAACTCCGCTGCCACCGTCGACGTGGAAAACATCTACTTCGAATGGGTGCCCCTGCACATGGTCGATGCCTTCGTCAGCGAAGAGGGCGTCATGGACGAGGGCCGCATCCGCGAGAAGTCCGAACAGCTCGGGAACAAGGTCGATAAGTTCTTCCTTGACTTATAGGGCGAGGGCTCGGCTCAATAAATAGAGATATCGACCCTGATTTGCTTTGGGAGAAGACGGTTTTTAGTTCTTCTATTCTGCCCATTTTCCCCCCCTTTTCCTTCCTTCTTTTCTTCTACCAGAGATGTGGGGTCATGCAACACGACTACACCATACCATCTAGGGCAATTCTGGCATTCCACCTTAGCGCATAGTGAGATTACATAGTGCAGTCATCCTGGTATCGATTCTAATGCAATACAACAATTCCACGCTATTAAGTCCATCCCCGCTCGAGTCATTTTCACCCCCTGCACAACTTCATACAAGCTACAACATTGTTTCCCCCAACAACAGCCGAGATATCCCGCTGGGATCTGATAGGGTCAATTCCAAAATTACAGCGGGACAATGCTGGAGCAAGAGACAAAGAAACCGGTAGCACTATCTACAGTAACCCAAAATGATTGGCCCCCTCGCCCCTGTCAATAGCCCTACCCTTGCACGGACTAATGGTACTATATGTATCTTACCAGGATATAAGTTATATCCCTCCACCCTGGTCGGAGACCACTATACTATCTAGCTCATAACTGACTAGCGCGGTTAGTCACACCAGGAGCGCCAGCGCCAGCACCAGCGCCAGCACCAGCACCAGTCTTCTCTAACCCCCCTTGCAACGCCAGCTCCAGCCCGTCGGCCACATGCTCCGGCACACTCAGAAACGCCGAGTGCGATGCGTCCACGTGATAGCGGCCGGGGTTGCCCAGGGTGTGGGCGAAGGCCTCCTGCGCGGCCAGGGGCAGCGCCTGGTCTTGGTCGCAGAAGAGGTAGAAGGCGGGGATCTCGCGCCAGGGTTCGTGGAGGGCTGGCTCGAGGAAGGAGGGCTTGGGGTGGCGGTGCAGGTTGGCGATGGCGCGGCGCTGGGCGGCGGGGGTCAGGTCATGGTAGAAGATCCTCTCGGGCTGGGTGGTGTAGACGTATCCGTCGTCGGGGGTCTGCATTGTTGGTGGACGAGTGTTAACCGACGGCTGTTGTTTATGCAACAGAACGTTTGCGATAAATGGAAGGGGGCCACTTGCTGTGAAACTCATCCAAGGCTCCCACTTCCCTCCCAGCATCTCGAAGAGGGACTTGCCCTCGGGCGCGACGAAGGCCGCCATCCATACCACCTGGATCACGCCCCCGGGTTGACCTGCGCGGGCCCGAGGCGCGTAGCCGAGACCCTCGACGGCGCCCGCGGCGACGATCCCGCCATAGGAATGGGCGACCACCACGATCGGACGTCCCTGGTCGGCTAGACCCCGGAGAACCCTCCTGGTGTGGGCGATGTCGGCATGGAGACCGATTGATGGATCGGCCGCGCCGACGGACTGGTTCGCAACGGCCTCGGACTCGTACCCTCGCTGCCGTAATACAGCGCGGATGATGTCGAAGGTATCTGGGGTGTGCCATGCACCGGGCACGAAGACGAAGATGGGCTTTGTTTGGGCAGTCATTGTGATTGTGGATATTCGGATGCTTTTATCACTTTTGGATCATTCTTTGATTCTCTGGCCCTTTCTGCGGGCCTGGACAGTGTACTTATAGCGAGGAGTGAAGACTGACTATGGGGACATCGGGTCTCGGCCAAAGGGGAGGGAGGGGGAAAGCGGAGATTGTATGGCGTTCATTTAAAATGTTTAGATTGTTGTCCAAAGATAGGCCGCAGTTTCCCCCCCGGACGGTAGGCTAACGGCCGCTGTCAGACCCACAGGCGGGCCTGTCGCCGAGACACGATGTACAATCGGCAGTCGCACCATCTTGGAGGTCCCGTACTAGGACTATAGTGGTCCATCTAAACTGACTGGGGTCTAGCGAAGGACTGGTCGCGGAACGGAGGTTGTCCGCCGCCCACCATGACACCCTGTGTTGTTGGTGGCCACTAGGCAAACAGAAGTACTGGCTGACAGTGACTTGGGAATGCACTGTACTCCCCTGCCAGGAGCACCTAAGAGCACAAAGGAACTTTCGAGACTATGGGCCCCTATTTTCTTATTCTGGACATTTCCCGCTTCTTTAAAGCATCAGCCATGATTGAATTGAGCTTGTTCGAGCCGTTGGGCAAGTCTGTGGACAGCAATGGCATCGACGATGGATGTCAACGAGAACCGCCAGCATGAAAACCGAGTGCTTTGCATTTTCATGACCGCCCTAGGCTTGCTCTTCGTGATCTTGCGACTTCTAGCGCGGTGGAAGAAGGGCTTATCGGTTGGACCGGACGATTATACCATACTGTTGTCAATGGTGAATTCGAACTCGAATGCTTCGAACTTATTACTTCACCACTAACTTGGCTCTGGCTCGCCGAGTGTAGGTATTATGTACGCGCGGATCTTTCCAACGCGGAACTTCCGCATCGCTTCTCTCGTCCTCGGCAGCATCGCAGTCTGCTGGGTCATGGCAATCATCTGTGTGAGCGTGTTTCAGTGCGCTCCCATCGCGAAGGCCTGGGACCAGCAGCTCCCAGGCAGCTGCATCAACCTGAAGGGATCGTTCATCGGCAACGCAGTCCCGAACATTGTGACTGATGTGGCGATCCTCTCATTACCAGTGCGTGTAGTCTGGGGTCTGCACGCCTCCCTTACGCATCGACTGTCGGTGATCGCCGTATTCCTGCTGGGCAGTTTGTGGGTTTCTCCCTTCCATCTGCCTCCGCCTTACCTCCCTCTATCTACTCCGCGCCGAACGCTGTCAAGTTCGCGCCGTCTTAGCGCCTCAGGGTATCGAGTTAGTAGCTGTCCAAGAACTGACACATGCACACCACAGCGTCGTGTTCACCAGCGCCTACCGCTTGTCCTCGCTCTTCCAGTTCGAACCAGCCGACACCCCCTGGACACTTGCCACGGCCAACACATGGTGTCTCATCGAGTGCGCAAGTGGGATCATCTCCGCCTGTCTCCCGACCCTGCGGCCGCTGTTTGTGGCGCTCTCATCCAAATTCGCCAGCAGCGTGGGAGGAGGCTCGCGCGGACGATCGGTCGAGAATGGCATCAAGGACTCCGAGCTCCAGAGCTTAGATGCCCTCAACCCCACATTGCGGCCGCCTGGCGAGCACCTATCCAGACAGCTTGTGTTGATGGATGTAAGCCAGCGGGATAACGCTTACGGGGATGAGGTGCCGCTGAATACAATCCGAGTACAGCGCGAGATCACTTGGCAGGAGACGAGGGACATCCATCCGCGAGAACGTAAATGATGAGATTGTGTGTCTATGAGCAAAATGCGTTCACCATGGGACTCGGGTTGTATCAACGAGTAGTATGTATCTTGGCTAGATGAGATGACAGTGAGGAGGGGTGAGCGCCAGGCAGGCGAACAGGAGCGCTTTCTCGCTTAGGAGGAACCATGGGGCATTTCTAGTCCATCTTTGTAATGTTCCGCCTTTCGTTTGTGAAGGAATCCATACAGTGGGACCACTCAAACGAGACAAACTGATCTTTGAAAGTATTTCAAGACAGTGGCATCGAAGCATCCGGACAAATGTGCAGATATAGTTAGTTGGTGTGTGGTGGTAGCTCTTCCAGTCGGCCCGAGCCGCGAGTGAGCCCATCGAATGCGGCATTTCTGCCATCTCTTCCCGCTTTGCAGCTGTCCGTCTTATCGGCTTCTGGGAAATCCAGAAAGGACTGTCTTTTGAAGGATAGTTCATAAGAAACTTGCAGAGCATGTAAAGACGATTGTAACATGTCTTAGTTCAGAGAGTTTCAGAAGCTGGATTGATCTCACCTTCTATAACAGCGAAACAAGAAGCAACCCAGCCCGAGCGGAGGCTTTGTGGGTGAATATATAATGGGTGCTGTAAGCCCGCCAAGGCCAAGCTACAGAACAACACATTGTACACAAACAAATAGTATATTCTCAGATCGATGAAAAGCAACAAGGCTGATATTGTCCATTACCCTATTCACAGAAGAAAGCATACTCCAAGACTCCGCTGCCAAGGCCTGGTTCATGAAGGCCAACATTCCACATTGTAAAAGCACAACAGACAAACAGAAAGGAACTCAAAAGGTATCATTCAATCCACAAAAGTTTCTCCGCAGTCAGCACTCGCGAATCCGCGCCTGCCGCTTCGCCGTCCCGATGTGCGTATTATGTACTTTGGTAGCGAATTTGAGGCTGGTCAAGGTCTCGGACAGGTGGGCTTGCAGCGGGCTGACCATGACGAACATCAGGGTCTTCGAGTTGCCGCCGAGGGAGAATTGGAGGAGGTAGGTTAACTGTTAGGTTGTTGTTAGCTGACTGATGCAACACCAAAAGAATCATCTGCGCGGCGTACCTTGCTGTTGCGGTAGGGAATATGTCCACCCTCCTTGCCCTGTCCCAGAGCAGCGATCACATCGCCCAAGCAGCTCAGACTGCGATTGATATTCTGTGTCTCGCGCAACCGCTCGCCAGTTGCACCACTGTGGCTGAGGCGCTCACTACCAGCGAGATCGACGAGGTTAAGGGTGCCCTCGCTGCGCTCCCCCGTAATATCGTTCTCACCGATGAGCTTGAGAATAAAGACCGAGTGAGACCGAGAAGACCTCTCGTTGGCTTTGGTTGCTGCAACGGAGCGGTTGGAGGCGGCCCTCTTGAGGATGGTCTCAACCATCTCAGGCGATTCTAGGCGGACAGTGGTAGCATCGGTTACGATGGTCTTGCCCCTCTGCATATCATGGCGGATTTCGAGCTTCTTTCTATCCAGGTCGTCGGGGTTGCCCAGCAAGTCGTTGAGGTTCTCGTTGTACACCTCCACGAAATTACCTTCCATCGTGTACCTCCAGCCTTTCTCCTCGAGGCCAGTGGCCGTCTCATAAATCTGGTGCACGGCCCGAGGAATCATACCGTCAAGAGATGACATGGTATGGGTTTTACCACTGCCGGTCTGGCCGTAGCAGAAGATGCACACATTGTATCCATCTAGAGCACTCTGCACCAGCTGGCTGATTTCATCGAAGACCTCCGCGTTCTGGGTAGACGGCCCGAATACACGATCGAATGAGAAGTTACTGTTCTTCCTTGAGATTGCTCCAAGGCTGCTCTTCTCCTCCGGGCCCAGCACTGCTATCTCTTTGCAATCCTCGGCGTCATCCGGAAACTGAATCTGAGCGACTTGATTGACAGGATCCGAGGGCAGCGAGGGGCGGACTCGGCAGAAGACTCGAATATTGCCTTTGAGCTCTTGTACCTGGTTGTGAAGTTTCCTTCTCAACGTCTCTTCCTTGCGGAGCTTTTCTTTTGTGGCATTCGTTTCAGCCAATGCGTCCATCATTTGTTGGTTTAGACGCTCAAAAGCCTGGGACTGCTCTTCGCGACCGGACTCCAAGAACTCGATGCGGGCTTTTAATGCACGCACGGATGACTCCATAGTTACAGTGTTGGTGCTGGCTGCATCCAGATTGTGCCTCAGGTCTCGGTTGGCCTTACGTTCACGCTCCAAATCAGCCTTCAGGGCGTGTATGTCGTGTTGCAGGGTGGCGACTTCTCGTTCCTTCTTCTCCAGCTCGGCATGCGTGCGCTGTGTGTCAAGTGCAGATTGCGAAGTGATCTGACTGAGTTCGCGCATCCGCGCAGCTCGTTCTTCCTCCATCTCGTCATCAAAGCGCCGCTTGAGTTCCTGAATTTCCTCTTGGTGCCGCGAGTGCATTGTCTCCATTTCTCTTCTGCCTTCCAATCGTACTGTCTCCAATTCCATACGTCGGCGGGCGTTGATGTCGTCGACGATCATTTCATGGTCTCTCTGTGCGTCTTTGAGTGCTTTCTCCGCACCAGCAAGTCGATTTTCCATCGAACCCATTTCGATACGCAGGGTAACATTTGTTTCTGTGAGTTCTTTTGACGATGCCTCTAGTTCACTCACTATTAATGGTTTTTAAATTAGCACGGAGAGCCACGATCAGCGCGCACTTCTCACTTACCTCTAGACTTGTATAAATCCACTGCATCTTTCAGCGCTGTGCTCGACTGTCCCTGTTGACTGACACGTTCTTCCATGCTTCGCACAAGGTCATACATTCGCCTTTCTCGGAGATCCAGGTCCCAATCGCCACCTATAGAATAGTTAAAAGACTTGATCATTGAATCTTTGGTAAGAAATTGTGGCAAACGGGATGGCTTTCGGGAAGAGCGAGTAATGGACAGAAGAGGGGTAGATGGGGCTGGTCTGACGGGAGTAGTGAAGGGAGATCTAGAAGACAGGGCATGATAACGCAATTGACTCATAGAAGCATGATGCGCAAGAGGGAGTTTAGAAGCCAAGGGATCAATGGGGCCAGGAACCAAAGCCAGTCTGTCCAACGGCGAGCATGGTGAGTCCTCACGCTGGGTCCATGGCCAGATCCGGGAAGTCTCATTGCTTGGTAGAGTCCTTGTGGCCTGGGGTACGGTAGCAGGGGATGAAAAGCAGTCAAACTCGCGCCTACCCTTACGTTTTCCAAGTATGGTACCCTCCGAGTCCTCTTGTTCACGAGAGCCCATTGCCGTGGCTGCGCGGGGGATGGCATTGGCCATTGGTCTCCGGGAATTGGTAACCGTGTGTGATCGTGACATACTCGTGTGCGGTCGTGCGGTGGGTCCGGCGGAAGACGAGACGGTCGATTTCGTTCTTGAGACAGTAGATGCGGAGCGGCCAAGGGTATTGGAGCTGTAAGTGTTCGCACGGCCGTGCGTCTTGACTGTGCTGCTGGCGATACGGGATGTTGAAGGCGCTGCAGCGGACTGGGTTGTGCTTCGTGGACGGCCCGGTTCTGATCTTGTTAGTGTCGAAACTCCTCCACCCCCGAACAAACCTCCAGAGACGTACGCGACAGGCCTGAAGTCTTACTTGTCACCGTGCCAGCGATAGTACCGGGTTGCACGAGCCCCGAGCGGGCGTTTGTTGAAGCCGGATTCATTTCCTTCAGGCCGACTGTTGGGATTCGAGTTCGTGACGACGTCTTCGACTGGATCTACTGTCGCGTTAGCCTGACTGTGTGGCCGACTGAATGCCACTTGCTATTACCATGTGATCGTTCTCCATACTGAGGGCAGGGAGCCACGAGCCCCTAACTGGTCAAGAGAATTCTTAGGACGGTTTTGACAGCGGACGAGGACAAAATCTGGCGCAAAGCAAGGTCGTACTCGAGACGCGTGGGATAAGCTAAGCAAGAAGAGCAATTCGCAATGGGTGGAGACAAGACTGAGACTGCAACATGCCAGGAGGAGCGGCGGGTGTGTGTAATTAAGGTGCAGGCTGGGCCGGCGTTCGGATGAAGAGGAGTTGAACCCGGCAGTAAACAGGCTATCCAAGGCCAGCCGGTGGTTTGTCTCTGTTGCAACTTGCCGTTTCTCCAGCGACGGGAGGGCGGTAAACAAATTCGGCTGACTCAGCTGCTGACTGGCGGGGGGAGAGAAGCCGCGCTAGGCCAGGTGAAGACTAGTGGTATTGATCTGATTGTCGTACTCGTATTTACTCGATTCTTACCATTTTCTAAGCTTCGTTGATCAATTCGATGGAGGGGGAGGCTTTGTACAACTTCATCTGACAAGTGTCTGTGTTCACAAAAGTCACAAAAGTCAATTGCTATTGTGAAAGCTTCAGTTGTTTACATCTCTGGTTACTCCATCAGACCCTTTCTCATTTGTTTCCTTGGGTGCTTGACTTAACTGGACCCGTCAATCTGCGACTATTTACTCCAGTTCTGGCCCGCCCGCGCGGGTTTCCACTTGTTCCCTTCTTTCTAGTCTACCACTACTGAACTCGGGCTAGTAGCCGCTGCGCCGCCGCTGCTGCTTTGCAGACCGACCAAACCAAGAACAAGAACAAGCTTGCCTGCCCCGTTCCACCATCCACTCTCACTCCTCCTCTGTTCCTCCCCATTGTCTCTTGTTCTCTTGCTTCTGTCATAGCCTTGCTTCCTTTTCCTTTCTACTTCTCCCCTTCATACTATTCTATTTGTCATTTGACACACCAGCGTCATGTCTGGTCGTTTCGTGCGTTCTTCTAAGTACCGTGAGTTTCCCCCCTACCCCCCTCCCTCCACTTTCCCCTCCGATTGCCCGCAATCTGACAGGTAGCAGGACACGTCTTCGGACGGCCGACAAGAAAGGTGCGCGACCTCCCTTCTGATCTATCGCAACCCGAATCGATCCTCACAACTTGAACAGGAGCAATGCTATGATAATCTTCGTGTTTCCAGAAATGCCTGGGATACCAACCTCGTCAAGGTCCGGCCGCTTTCATCGCCCCTAAGCCGCCTCCGCCGGATAATCTGACCATGCGACTAGGTTAACCCCAAGTATCTCTCTGTGAACTGGGAGGCTGGTGGTGGTGGTGCTTTTGCTGTCATCCCCTTGGAAGAGCGGGGCAAGCTGCCCGAGCGCATGCCTCTGTTCCGTGGTCACACTGCTGTTGTCTTGGACACCGACTGGTGAGCAATGGCCGGCATTCGCAGTTGAGGAGTAAGAGCGAGCTGACGTGGCTAGGAACCCTTTCAACGACGACCTCATCGCGTCTGGTTCCGACGACGG